GGCTGTTATGAAGCTCTTCTTTCATGGCAACTTTTCTGTCCTCCTATTAGGAAGGGCACAGTGTGGGTATGTCTGTGAACAGCTAGGGTTTGGGGGAGACAGGGCACATCCAAATCTAAGGCTCATGGATTTTACATGTGGACTCTTAAATGGAGGTATTAGCCCTCACTTCCAATCTTTCTATCACATCAGAAGCAATCCCCCCCCCCAAAACAGGAAAGCAATCGTCTCCCAAAGATGAATCAGAAAACAGCTGGCAGATTGGAAATAGCAGCCCATTCCTACTCTACACTGTTGAGGTTTAGAAAATGTTGGGGACAGGCTCAGCCAGGAAGTTTCCCCTTAGGAGGACAGCATGGAGAAAGAGGGAGACATGAAGAAATGAGTGGAAAGGAACCAGGGTGAAGAAAACTATGAAGGTCGGAAGCAAAACACACTCTGTTTTGAAGCTTAGTATTAATGTTTTCCTATAGCTTTTCCTATCCTAAAGAGAGCCACTTCCAAAAGATAACAGTCACTGTTTTTGAATTTTTTTTTTTAGTGAAAAAGTCCTTGAAAAATGTATTTGCATCTCAAGAGCTGAAACTAAATACTTTTCTGTATTGATGAGAAGATCAAGGCCATGGACAGTCACGGACAAGAAGGAGAGAGCTCTGAGTTGTAGCCATGCACCAGCAGCAGAGTCTCCCGCCCCCCAACGCCCACGTCCCCCAGTTCTCTAAACTAAATGAAAGCCTCTTGCCCCTGACATGTTGTGGTGCCAGGATGGTGATGGCCAGAGGTGATTAGCAAAGGCACCAGTCTGCTCTCCTACCTACCAGCCCTGATACCACACCAAGGTCAACAGCGCCCCTCCTCCAGGTGAATCGTGTCTCAGAGTTTCATTGTCTTTTTTTTTTCTCCAGTCCAGCCTCTCTCCATCCATCCAACATATTCCAATATCCTGCTGATAGCTGTAATATGCTGAATAATGCTGCTCTCAAAGAGGTTCATGTCCTGGGCTGGCTAAGTGGTGCGTTGGTTGGGAGTTAGCTTGGGACGCCAGCTCTGAGCAGCAGGGCCTGGGTTTGGATCCCACATATGAGGGCCAGTGACACTGCCCTCTACAGCTAAGATGCTGAACAACAGCTCAACCTGAAGCTGGGCTACTGTGAGTCGCTGGTGACATCATAGGCTGCAGTGGATCTGCAGTGGGCTCCCGTTGGCTACCATGAGCAGCCGGCAGCCAGAGTGAGCTACCAAGAGCCACCGGGAGCGGCCGTCCAGTGATGGGCAACCGATCTGCCTCGCTGGGGAAGAGCGCAATGATGATACCAACATGGGCCAGTGAAGCGGCGTCCTCCACAGCTAGACTGAGGAACAAGGGGACAGCAACTTGTCTGTTCCCCTTCCCCGATTCCCCAATAAAATCTTTAATAATAAAAAAAAAGAGGTTCATGTCTTAATCCCCAGTATTTATGAATATGTTATCTTATATGGTAAAAGAAACTTTGCAGATGTGATTTAGGATTTTGAGATGGGAGGTTATTCTGGATGATCTGAGTGGGCCCAGTATAATCACAAAGGTCATTATAAGAGGGAGGTGGGAGGGTCAGAGGGAAAGAAAGACATGTGACAACAGAGCAGTTGAGAGAAATTGAGACTTGAAGATGGAGTAAGGCGCCGCCAGCCAAGGAATGCAGGCGACCTCTAGAAGCTGGAAAAGGCAAGGGAATGGATGGTCCTCTCGAGACCAGAAGGAAAACAGCCTTGCCAACACTTTAATTTTAATCACAGATAATTCAGTTTGGACATCTGACCTCCAAACTGTAAAAGAATACATTTACATCGTTTCAAGCCACTAAGCTAGTGGTCATTTGTTATAATCAGCAATAAAAACTAATAAAATAGAAGTGAAAATCTACTTTGAAAAACTGGCAACATCTACAGAAGCTAAACATATGCCTTCTTCACGACTCACAAAGTCCATTCCTAGGTAAGTATCAAACAGAACTATTGTATATGTTCACCAAAGTCTACTATAATGTCCCCTAGCAGCATTATTTGTAATGTCCCAAACCTGAGAATTACCAAATGTGTATCAGTAATAAAATGAACAAACTGAGGTACATTCACACAGTGGAATGCTATACAGAAAAAAAAAGAAATGAAAAAAAAGAACCAACTATGACCATAGATGGTATGCATCTCTTAAACATAACGTCGAGTGAAAGAAGCCACACAACAGAGTATATTCTGTATGATCTAATTGCTATAAAATAGTGAAAATGCAAGGAAAACTAATCTATGCTGGTTGAAGCCACTATTCTGCACCCCCAAAAAAGGGATAGGAGGGAGTTTTCTGGGGTGTTACTAATGTTCTGTCTCTTGATCTTAATGATGCTTCAGTTTGTGCAAAATCATTGAACTTGTGAAATGTGCACAAGTTTTAACATGTACTATACATTAAGAGAAACATTAAAAAAAAATTTTTTTATGGGGGAAAGGAGACCTGTGCCTTTATGCACATTTGCCCAGTCGCTCCCTGGGACCCTCCAATCTCCCCCAAACAACTGCGTGTGGGTGCAGGGCGCCAAACCAGGATTCCAGCTCCCTAGAGTCCAACTCTGAGTTTAAAATGTCCTGTGAAGCTGCTTTACATGTATTCACTAAAGGGCCCATTTCAGGAGGTTATTTTCCTAAATAAAGGAAGCCTGCCCAGAGTTAAGTCTACTTTCCACTTCTGAGGACTCAAAACTACAAACTAGTTTGGATTGATATTATCTGAACAACAAAAAAATGGCCATGGCCTTCTCTCAACCAGATGATCCCTGATAAATGGAGTTAAAAGCATTGTTTTTACTTAATTTTGTCTCTTTTTATCCCTCAGTGAAGTTTAGCACATGAAATGTACTTTGTTAAAGTGTTATATTAATGTTTTAATAACAGTGTAATAAAGTTATAAACTCATAAAGACAAGAACGGTTGCTCTAACACCCCAACCTGAAGGGAGGCCCTGGCTTTACCTATAGGGAGTACAGGGATAGGAAGCGGGGAGAGGGACCCGCAGGGGACAGACACATGGATCAGCAGGTGGATATGAACCATAGGAGGGTTGCAGGAGGCGGGAGGGGGGGGG